GGCGACATTCAGCGTGCCCTTGTGTTGTGAGACAAGCAGAGTGATCAGTGAGACAGCACAGATAAAGTGCTGCAGGTGTGTGTTTAAGTATGCGTTTGTTTTGCCTCATAAACTCCAGGCACGTCTGGCCTCTGCTTGCATAATGCTACAGTAGGGCACCTCTTTCTACCCCACGGCAACAGTTGCTAGGGTTACCGACAGGTCGGCCACCGCAGCGATGAGGATAAATGAGCTCAGGGCTCCCATCAGCCCCTGGGTCACACTCAGCCTGCCGTTCTTTATCGCTCTCGCACACACGTGTGTTGTCCTGCATTCAGCGCTGTGAAAGAAAATACCTGTAGTCAAGCACACGGCTAAACACTCTGAAATTGCATTTCACAGCCCGTCACACACACGCCGATGCGTACAAACCCTGCGGCAGCGTTCTCACCCACTCGGCCGTACGCGTCCGTCACCCGGACCTCTGCAGTGTTCGGAGCTCCTCTGCACAGCGCCGGGGTTGCTGGTTTGACTCTGGCTTGTCACAGAGTGTCTGATGCGTCAGTTATGAGCCGTGAGCTCTGAGCGCGCCGCGGATCCATCATTATAATGATCATCTGCTCTGACATCTCATACATCACATCCCCCGCACTCATTAAATGTACTGTAGTCGCTCCTTTAGTCACTCATCCCATTTCTGTCCATCTGTCTGGAGACAGCGGCGCAGTATAACACTTATGATGTGATGCATGGGCGATTTGTGTCGTTTTGCCTTCTGTGCACAGATGTAGTGGAGAGGGTACAGTTGAAAAGTACAAATAAGTGTTTATGGAGATAATAGCCCCACTGGGTGCATTTGCTTGTCTGCCATTTGTTTACCATTGCTTGTGTGTTTGTGGCGAACGCACCGAGTTTCCTCTTGTTGTCGTGTTTGCTCTGTACACTGGATGTGTTTGTTTTCTGTACTGACTGCTGGCTTCTCGTCTGCTGCAGGATGACGGAGACGTGGAAGACGACATGACCATCAGAGAGGTAAGACGCACACATCTGCTGTCCACACACAACTTCTGAGACGCCTGAGAGTGAGCTGTCAGAGTCTAGACTGTCATTTAACCAATCAGAGGCGCCACCAGGCTTAAGAGTCCTTCAGGCTGCTTGTGAGTCCTCCAGTCTGAAAGTGGAAAGCAAAAACTGAAAATGTTTTTTTTTTATCTCAAACTGTGCTCCAGGTCTGTAAGAGCGCTTGTGAAGGCCTCTGTGGCACCTTCAGCTCATCGTGGTTTAACCCTCTGAACCCTAAACAGCTTCTAGTGTTTGGTTTTTACTCGCTGTGGGCTCATTTATCCATCCAACCACCTACAAAATCCAACCAGCTAGAAGCAGAGAGAACTCCAAAATGTCAGTTAAAATTCCATAAATAAAAGAAACGAGAGAAGAAATGCTTTTTACTGTTTGTTTTACAGAAACTGACAAAGTCTGAATGACCATCTTTGTGTGGTTCCACCTGCTGTAGATATTTTACTGTTGTACTGCACATCAGCTCTACATGGACATGTCCTCATGCTACATGTGTCTTCCAACATCTTTGTCCTCTCTGTGCTGTTTCTGGAGTCATGCTGCGGTCATTTGGTTGATCAAGTGTGCTTTAACTTCCTCTCCAGCCGTCCATGTGAACACAGCCGGCAGTGAACAGTCCCTGAGTTTCTGTCACACGTCTTGTGTTGGTCACAGCCGAGTGAATCAGCTCCTCGTTAGTGCTGAGCAGCACAGAATGTTGTTTTTTTGTTTACATGATCGACTGCAAACGGTTTGTTTTTGGAGATTTCCTGAATGAATCGTGTAAAATACGTCGATTTTGATGAAATATCAACATTTTAAGCCAGAGTGTGATTATTTTTTTCCCAGCAGGACCAAAATCAGAATCAGATCAAGTTTTGTTGTCATTTATTCAGCAGCAGTGCAGCCAAGATGAGAGCCTTCCTCCAGGATCCAGTAACTTAAAGACACCAACACTTATGTATTCACACACCACCCGCCCACCCGCTCACATCCAGAGAACATCATTTTTACAAAGAGTTGAATTGTTGGTGTCCACAGCAGCAGCCTTTGATGCAAAGAACCACCGCACGTGATGTGTTCAAGGACCGCTGCAAAGTGAAAAATCTGATGATTAAACGGCTGGTTTTTGGGGTTCAGAAGGTTAAAAGCTTTTCCAACACCAACAGTTAAAGTCTGGTGCCAGCACTGAGTCCCTGAGAAGTCTTGAGAGGACGAGTTTTAAAACAATTTAAAGTTAAAGCACAGGCCTGTTTTATTCTTCTTTAATCACATAACGCTAAAAACTGCAGACCAACAATGCATCAGTCTGTGTGTTCCTATTTTTTTTTCCCAAACCCTTTTGTTTTTGTTTTGGATTCATCTCTCTTTAGTATTTCCAGTAGCAGGAAGGTGAGGTTTAGACAAGCTGTGGACGACAGTGAAGCTCTGTGACATAGAGGAATACGTTACATCAGCGTTTGGCTTCACAGATAACACGTGTTCATAGAACGAGTCCAGCTATCGCATACATTTGATCAAACCGGTCTTCAGGAACCTACATTTGTCTAACTGGAACCTCAGCTTGCGTTGGATGACACTGCAGTCGGACAGACTCAGATTTCTCAATATCTCCAGACGGGCTGATTACCCCGGAGTCTTATATTTTTGGATATGACATCATTCATAATTCATCCATCAACAGCACCTCTCATTTCCTCTCTGTCAGCCGCACATTCCTCACACTTCTCTTCTCCATCCACTCTCCTCTTTTTTTTTTTTTTCTCACCCAGAATCACTTATGCTTCACCTCTCATACATCTGCCGTGTCATCGCTTCTGCCTCCGTCTCCCTTCACCCTTTTGGCCGTCCATCGTTGTGGGTCTCGTGTGATTTATAGAGGCAGTCAGTGCAGCGTCTGGTCCATTGATTGTCTATCAGAGGGATGTGATTTGTCAGCTTGTGGTTTGGGATTATTTGATGCCTTTGCCTTCTGATTAGTTACTGACACTGCGCATAAAGACATCATCTGTTAAAAGCGTCTAATGTGTCACTGCACAGTTTTATAGTAGGACAGTCAGAAGGAAATCAACTGTTTATTAACCATGAAAGTGGAGCCTGTCTGTGGATATGATGCCGTTTATGAACTGATCAATACGGATGTTGGAAGTCTTTATATACTGCAGAGGCTTTTCTCTCTTCCTCCTTCTTTTGTTTGCACATCTTCAGTGATTCCCAAAACCTGTGTGATTTGCAGATTGCCGAGTGGGAGGAGAAGCAGCTTGATGAGCAGGTCAACTTCAACAACTGCAAGATCGACCCCGCCCCGTTCCAGCTGGTGGAGCGCACGTCGCTGCACAAGGTCTGATTGGAAGCACAGCTGCTTCAACCTCTGCCTGTCTCACACTGGAGCATAAATCAGTGGCTTTGCTATTAGCTGCATTCTCAGTATTGTGCTCGTAAGCCTTTGCTGTTTAACTGATTTAGGAAATGCACGGTTATTAGTATAGTTCCCTTTAAAAACAAGACAATTAGAAACGCTGTGCATACGACCAACAAGGCCCGAGAGCAAGATTTAAAAACAGAAAGGATTCATGAAAAACGTTTTCAAAGAATAAAATAATATATGTACATGTATTATTCACAGCAGTGTAATGCAGTTTATATATATACATATATATATATATATATATATATATAAAGCCCCACATTTAATAACAGGTAGTGGCAGAAAGAGGGATTTTCAGCCTTGATTTTAAAGAAAACTGAATATTAATGCAAGATCACAAGGTTCTTGGGAGTTCGTATCAGATATGTGAAGCAGAAAAACTGAACTTCTCCATGTTCACATCATCCTCCCTGTTTACCTGACAGGACAGGGCGGTTATTAGTCAGAAGTTTAGATTCTGTTTTTAATAAGAAATCTTTTATAAACTAAACTATTTTCCAATTTGTACTGTGTACCTGCTCAGTGACTACAGAGAACAGTAGTAAACTGCTGATGTTCTCCTGAATTCCATCCAAATACTTCCGCTCTGATATTTTATTTCATAACCTCATCTTAAAAGGAAGAGGCCCCAGAATGGAGCCTTGTGGGACTCCGTGTCATTTTTGCTCTCTCAAATGTGTAGCTGCAGGTTGTCATAAACTATTCCTTTGTTGTTTTGGTCACAAGTAGACACATAAAACAATCCTAAAACTAATAATCAAAAGGAAGAACATGTCCATGGCAGGCGGTGAAAGGTGTAACTTCTGTCTTTGTACGCTGGTCACACAGCTTCCTGACACACCTAATGAGAAAGAATGGGCTTAAAGGAGAATGCAGCGATACACCACAGAGCTGTGGCCTGTTAACCTCAACCAATGGAAAACAAATGGAAAAACCTTTTTAGGTCGTTTCAGTTCATTTAGACATTTATGACATTTCTGCCCTAACACACAACTTGGTTAGTTTTATGTCTTACTTTTAAATGCCCCTGACAACCTGCTTTAACCAGCGTCTCAGTGCGACCCATGGGGCCATGCCTTATACTTTAAACACAATTTCCGATTTTCATTTGCTTCTGTGCTCAGGTTAAAGTGCCACTGGCTTCGTTTGAGAATGTTGAGCTGTGAGTTTGTACTTCTGGGCACCGGTCAGGATTTTCCCACTTCAGAAACAGTGTTTGATGACAGTTAGTGGCTTGTTTGATCAAAACACACCCCCACAGTCCTGACCGTGGTAAATAACTATACCTTCAATTAACGGTTCCGGTTGAAAGTTTCCTTTGCAGACCCTGATGTGCATTGAAACTGTCTGTTTATACGAGAAACCTGCTCCGTCCTCATTAATGTACCGTTTATTGGAACCAGCAGCAGCGGTTTGTGTAAGTGCAGCAGAGAGCTGGAGTCCTGTGGGCAAAAAAGGTTAACAGAGGCTACAATCACTTGGAACCAAACAGATTACATCTCAAGCGTTTGTTTTCTCAATGAGCAAACATCCATTATAGCAGACTTATAGTTCTGTGGGAGTCAATGCGAGGCCGCCTTTATTCCCCCGATGCAGACAGAAGCACTTGAAAAGTGAACTGCCACAAATTCCAACACTCCAGATACCCTCAGTGCTCCTGCGGTGTGTGTGGTGACATTGAAGGAGCACACAAACAATGCAAAACAACACACACACACACACACACACACCGAGGATTTTCCCCACTGAGTGAAGGAGGAAGTGAGAGTGCAGCGTAAAGAAAGGATCCTGAGCTCTTCAGAGCCCGTGTTGATTTAGTTTCCTCACTGCGGCCCATTCATACACCCTGGAAGAGGCTCTGTCTTCCAAACACACAAGCGTAGCGTCCACACACACACACACACACACACACACACACACACACACACACACACACAAACACATTTCAGTGTTGAAACACTCACTTCCTGCCGAGCACACACACACACACACAGTAACTGTAGCCTGCCAGCGGCGGTGGCAGCGCCTAATGTCCTCCATTCATAACGCTACCTTCTCTCTCTCCCCTCCCCCCTCGTCCTCTGGGCTCTGTGTGAATAGTCTTTAAACATTTAAGAGAGGGATCCTGCACCAATCCATCTCGGTCCCCTCCCTCCGCTGCACACTGCCAAAAGCCAATACCACGCACAATCTCCCTCAGCATATTAAACACCGCCCGCTGCCGCCGCCGCCGCCGCCGTGCACCGGCATGGATGTGTGCATGTGTGTGTGCAGTTCCTCTCTCTCTGCTCACCATTTATCCCAAGCTGTTTACTCTTGTTGTTGTTGTGGTGTGTTTGTCTGCAGGCTCTTTTGTAATGGACAAATCTGTTACGTGGCCTATTTACATGACATGACCGGTGTGGGGTTTTGGCTCAGGGCTGCTGTCAGTTCGTTTGAGGTGGAAGCAAACAGGACCCAGAGCAGCCCACGCTTCCAGGATCTGCACCAAAGAAAAGAGCTCATCAAGCCACTGCTGCAGCCTGCCGTGATTACAGCGTCAGAATAAAGGCTCAATTCACCCACGTTACAAAAACGTACAGATTAATAGCAAGTCCGCGGAGTGAGCAGCAAGCATCTGGATGAGGTGTTGGTCCACCACCGACCTCCAGAGCACCTTCAGTACTCAACTGAAGATAATTATGCATTGTGACAGTGACGGTTACAGTGTCGTCATTCCAAAATCTTCATCTGGATGAAGCTGAGCTCAATCAGACACCTCTGAATCTGAAGTGTTCAGCTCTGCATCCTGTTGTGTTGAGTGCAACAATAATAAAAGGGATGATTGATGTCTCGGGACTTTCCTGCCACCACCTGAGTACCGTGGAAGGGGATGAGATATTATTTCTTGGCAGTGAAAGCGTTGAAAAATTTGCATTAAAAAAAAAGAAAAACTCTGCTGAGATTCTGGATAATTTACAGACGTCACTGTCAACAGAGTTCCTGCAGAGGATTTTTTTGAGGGTTGTTTGAGGACATGGTGCCATTAAACGGTCTAAGTTCTGGTTCCGTTGTTGTGATTTCATCTATAAGGTACCTGAAGACGACAGGGAGTCCAAGGGGGCGTCAACAGATTGCTTACTCTCTGAAGAATTTTATAAATGGAGGAGAAGTTGCAGAAAATTGGGTTCATATAATAGATTGATCAGCTCTGGTGTCTCCTCTGCTCCATGGTGTTGGATTGGTGGTTTAAATCCCAGCAGAGACACATATTTATAATTGTGATAGCATAGTTTAGCCTCTGGTTCTGACAGCGCTTTTCCGTGTTAAGACCACATCTCCAGTGATCTACATTCTGTTTAGCGTTGTGATGAAACAGGACGAACACCGAGTGTGACTTGTTGGCACTCCGGAGGCTGCTGACCACGTTACTGTGCCGCTGATCAATTGATTGTAAAATGCTATTTGCAGCACCTTTAATCAGCGAGTAGCAGCTTAAATAGACTCGAATGGGTTGAAACGGAGGTGAGCTCATTCTGTCCCCAGAGAAGCGACGACGGCTTCCTGTGGGGAAACTCTCTGACGGATTATATTACGGTTGGCCGTGGCCTGAAAGCACTTTACAATCTTTTCCTTGGCACAGCTTCGGTTTGCTTGGCACAGTGGGATCAATTTCAAACCTCCCCAATGCCCACTCTGGCTCAGGAGAAAGTCCCATTAAACACTAAGAGGGTCTAGAACAAAAAGTCCTGTTGGCATCAATTCTGCAACCTTTCTGATCCACGGCACACACTCCTCTGTAACCGTAGGCCTGCAGATAAGATTAAATGAAACTTTAATGATCCCAGTGTGGAAACTGAGTCATTGCATGGGCAAATACGGCACTAATAGGACGGAGAGTAAAAAATGGAGCAGAACGGGGCGGCGGGAACAAATGAAACTAACATTTCTAACAATATAAAAGTTGAACAACACAGTGGAACTGTGAGAATAAGGAATGTGACTGACACTAATAGCACACAGTGACATCCTAAGTATCCACAGAACATTTTAACACTCTTATTGTTGTTTTTTCGAATGTATAATAATGAGTCATTGTGTTTAGAGAGAAATAAAGCAGGAAAATAGAAACGGTTGCCAGGCCTCCTCTGTGTGGAGGATACTGAGTGTTATTATGCAGTAGGTTGACTCAAAAGCTGATTTAAAGGAGGATGTCTTTGGATTCACCGGTTTGAAGCCTGTAACCGCGGTGATACAGATGATTAAACTGACTTTAACATTGTTATTTGAACTTGGTCTGATTCCTCTTTAAGTGAACAGACTCGGCAGGCTAACGTGTTCGACCTGCGTCCGACCTCCTCCCTGAGACAGCTGTGGCAGGTTAATGTGTGTCATCACCATCCAGCGACTCCATCTGCAGCTAAAGTTAGACCCACGTCGCCGCTGAAGCACATCTGTGTGGAGCTCGCTGTGTTAACGTCAGTTATTCCATCGCTGAAATGTCTGAACTACCAGCTGTAGGCAGAAGAAGCAAGTTTTAAAACATCACTAACCCTGTAACAGCATGTGTGTCGTATTTGATCATCAGTTTTTAATCATCAGTGTGATATTTTTTCATAAAAACAACAGATAATCCACCGTAGATCGTAATTAATAGACTAGAAATGCTGAATGTAGCTAAAATAATACAAATTAAAACTCATATATGCAAATTGAGTTTTTATTTTACTATTTTCTGTTAGAAGGTTCAATAAATACTCCAGTTTAGAAGATAAAAATAGAGTTTTCTGGCTTTTATTTCATGGTCCAGGGTTTACCGAGTTGACAGAATCTCATTTTATCAGGTTACAACAAACTTGCTGACAGATGCTGGAGCTGAACACTGATGTGGAGTCTTGTTTGCTTCCATCTGTTTCATCCTTGTAGCTCTGTTTGGGTCTCCACCAACGCCCAAGGGGACAAACAGTCTGGCTCCTTAGCTGCTAAATGTTCCTCAGCAAGGTGCTAGCTTGGCCTGTCTGCCATCTGAGGTGGCTGTAGGTCGAGTACGGCAGAGGTTTGGACTGAAAACAGCCGCCAGTCTCGGCTGACAGCAGACAAAGTGACCGTGAACAATACGTTTACAGACAATAGATCCATCACAAAGCCGTGGCCTACACCCACAGACCGCTGCTTCTTAACAAGAGCAACACATAAATACGTTCCATCGACTTGTACAGAAGCCGTACGATCCAGTCCTCTGCTTCCTCTCTGATTCAGACATGTATGGCTCAATTACTCCAGGATTACAACTTGACATTATGCAGCGTGGAGTAAAATTCACTGAGAGAGTCGCTTGTTAACCGAAGCCCAACAGGATCTGGTTCTTCAGAGGGTTGTGAAACTAGACGGGTGAACCACAACGAACCATGAGGATGAACGCTTTGGTCTGATGGACTTCACAGTTTCTCTGTTCTCATCTTACATCCTGTACTTGTGTCGAGTTATTGTTCTGCTGAGCCTCTGTTCTGCACTTTGAGCCGAACAGATGTGTCCTATCATCTGCTGCGTTAGTCTTGATTGGCTGTTAAACCTGTAGTTTGTGATTTATTGCTAATACGGAGCTTTAGCTTGAAACACTTCCTCATGGCGCATGTCTGAGATCATAAAGGTTTTTTGAACTGAGCGCTGCTTCCAGCTTCAGTCGGTTCTTGTCAGCGAGCAGGTATTTAGCACGACAGTTTCTTTTCTTTTTTTTAAACCACATTTCCCCAAGTGATGGTATCCCATTTAGCTGAACATTTGACGAGCTGAATGGATCCGTTGTGAATGAAGTTGTTGGTGCTGGATAATTAAAGTCACTGGTGCATTTCCCTTATTGAGCAAATTTTCTATTTTAAGTAAGAACTCAGCAAAGTGCTTCCTTTTGGTTTGTGCTGCTGATTTTTTCCAACCCGTCTCTGCTGTTTCTCTGCAGACCCACACCATCTTCTCCCTGCTGGGCCTGGACCACGCCTACGTCACCAGCATCGGGCGCCTCATCGGTGTCGTGTCCCTCAAAGAGGTGAGAGTCTCCTGAACACATGCACCGCTGTGGTTGCATTCTGCAGCGTTTGTTTTTACCTAATGGTTACACATTTTCACTGTTTAATGGTTTCATATCTGCTTTTTGTGATCAAATTTTCATGGGTTTTCCTTTTTAGATGACAAATGATCCAGACATTAACGGTTTCATATCTGCTGAAGTTATTCTCTTAATCCATTTTTTTGTAAATTTCTCCAAAGTGAAGTCGTGACTGTCATCATTTACACAGGCAGCATGTTCGCTGCTTTCATAACTGTAAAATCACTGTCAGGATCATCAGCAGTGCTGTCGCCGCGCTGCACACACACACACACACACACACACAGACATTTCAGTCATCATTAATGATTCCTCCTCTCGGCCTGGTGTGTGCTGTGACAGACAAAAGGCTGCTTAATATTTCTGTCTCTGTCTATTGTCTCTCTGTCAGTTCTCGGCCGCCCCTCCCTCTCTTTCCATCTCTGCCGCCTCACAAACAAGTGAAAACCTCTCGCTCTTTGTGAATTGGCCAGGAAGTGGTGAGAGGATTGCTGCTAAGTGCAGCGCTGCTTGCCTGTCCCTGACATTTACGCTGTTTTGTTCTGCGTTCCACCAGCAGACAAAAAGAGCCGAGCCGAGCCCGATAAAGCCCGGCCCAGCCCGGCCTGCCTGTCTGTCACGCAGACACGCTGTTATATCACAGCCTCTCCGCTCCATATGGACGGGCAGCATCACAGCCACGTTTGTGTGCGTTTTTATGCTGCATTATTTCCACCACAGTATTCTTGTGGCGCCCAAATCCTTCACCCCATCAGCCAAATGACAAACTTGGCCTGGCCGAACAGAAACCCGGTAATGCTCTCTCCCACGGCGAGCTCATGGAGATGGGATGACAGAGGCTGTAGAGAATCATCACTAACTCTCACAGTGTGTTGAGGAGATTAAATAATGTGAAGTCATGTCAATCCAGAACATGCACGCTGATAAGAAATACTGCGTTCTACTGGTTTCCTATTACAGTAAAAAGGAATTGTGTTTTCCTCTCTGGACATGTTTTAAATGAGCGTGAATGAAAACCAGAGACTGTGTTTAAAAGACGGATGTACCTATGAAGGGATGTGGAAGTAAACTAAAGAGCATCTCTGGAGGAATACATGGTTCTACGGCGGTAACGTGTCCATATGGTGCTTTTTAGATGCCAACCGAGATGAGCAGGCAGCGCCACGGCAAGTGAAGGCTTGAAATTTTGAGCATTTTATTTTGGCAAAGGTTGCTTTGGGAATACTTCAGTAATTGTCTCTGATAGTCGTGACAGATGTACAGGTTTCCTGTGAAAAGCTGCAGCACTGTGGCTCAAACAGGTCTGAACCGTACGGAGAGGTTTGCTGATCTGCTTTGACTGGTGCTGTGTGTAGGTGGCCAGCAGGGCTGCACAGATAAATACATCTACAGTCATTATTCTGCAAAATGTTTCAGCGAGCAGCGAAAACCAGAGTCGCTGTGACCTCGCTTTCAAGTCCAGACTGCCCTCTGGACAGAAGCTTTCCCTCCGTTACGTTTTGGAGAAGAGGTTCTGGTCTGAAAACATCCCGTGTGTCTTTACATCAGGATGTAAACTCCTGACATGATCCTGCACCGCGGAGCAAGGCCGGTGTTGGCAGTTCCCTTCCCACAGGGGCCTTGTGTTCCAACACTGTCTGCAGCAGAGCATAATAACACTATCATCACAACGCTGTGCAGAAATTCAGCATCCTGTAGCCACTTAGATCTGTATTTTACTCATAGCCTCCATTTTGGGGCTCAGGTGTGATTAGAGCCCAAGATTTATCAAAACCAAAATCCAGACCCTTGAGGTTTGGAGCTGAAAGCCTTGAGGTTGTGTTTAGTTGAAGCATAAAAAGCATCCGGGGCATTAAAATCCACCAAACCTGAAACAGGTTCATGTGTTCGATCACTGCATGATATCTGATGAAGCCATGCAGAAGCTTCCCTTCATACTATGAATATTTACAGGCCCTCCAAACACTCTCTCACTTTTTAATTTGCTGTATTTCTCTAGCATCTGAGCCCTCATTACTTAATATGTGAAGGAGACAGCCGCATAACATTTACTAAGCTGCCAAATACATGTGAGCTCTGCAGCCAAATCGATTTTACATCCACTTCAAGTGTCACAATCTAAAGCCAGAATCGGTTTTTGGAGCATCACTTTCTTGGAATATATCATAGTTTCAATATGAAAACTGCACCAGTTTAATGTTTAATGTGACGTAGAGTCATCGGGAGCCTGGATGTGTTTGTTGATCATCTACTGGAGGAAACTTTAAAGTGTGTTTGGGTAATTTTGTGAGGCTCATACCATCATGTGGGAGGTGGTTTGTCACAACAAGTTCTAACAAATGAAAAGTCTCATTTGTAGCTACATTATGGTGGTAGGCTCATCTTTTAGACATCGTTCCTTCTGTGTCAGAATCATTTTCCAATATGAGCGTATTCAGATTTTGTACCTGCCTGGGTTTGGGCCGTTCGTGTCGTCTTCGCTAACCGTCTTTCTTTCCTCATGCAGCTTCGCAAAGCCATCGAGGGCTCAGTGACGGTGAAAGGCGTGAAGGTTCGTCCGCCTCTGGCCAGCTTCCGTGACAGCGGCACCAGCAGCAGCGAGAACGAGGCCACCGAGCTCCACAAGCTGTGGGATCGCCACAAGAGCATGTCGCTGCCGCGCGAACACACCCCGTCCGAGTCCGACGAGAAGTCCCAGTGAGGGGACGCCGAGGAGGAAGAAGAGCAGGTGGAGGAAGAGGAAGCGTTGAGGTCTTCAATCTCCCAAAGCCACAAAAATGCAAAAATCCTCAGGGCTTAGGATCAATATTTAATTCTGGAAAGAGTTCTACTGCTACGCCAGCCTCCTCCTCGCCGCCCTCCTCACCTGCTCCTCTGCCTCCCCCTCCACCTCCTCCTTCGCTTCACGGACCACCCAGTGCTTTCTCCAGGAGCCTTGCACTGACCCAGCCAGACACTCCACGGGGGGAGTGGAGCCCAACCCAACCTGTGCCCTGCTCTCCGTTTTCCCTTTGGAACCCACAGCAGAGAGAATGTGGATTTGGGGGAAAAGAAGAAAAGACACACGTTGGTTGAGTCCAACAGGGACCTGGGACTGGGTGGGCATCTTTTAAAAAGGGATGTTTTTTTTAGACTTTGTTTAGCTTGTGTATGGTTAGAGTTGGGATCAAAGTTTGGACCTGCAAACGCTGTCTTTGAATGAGTCTTCCACTTCAGTAGAGAAATTCATCAGCGACGACAAGGAAGAATCCTGTACTGTATGCGTGGACTGTGCGTGTTTAAATGAGAAAATGTGAGCGTGCATGACGAGGCAGGAAGCAAACGACTATTTCTTATAGGATTTTTTTTTTATTATTGCCTTTAGAACAAATTGCGTTCTTTGTTTTCCTGCTTGAATCATTTTTATTTCTGACTGATCAGGTGGTCTGGGTTTGACTGGAATTTGTCATTTCTTTGTAAATTACACTACGGCTTGTCCCGCTGACAAGCGACGGACTCATCAGGAGACACATGCCTTAGTTTTCTTTTCCTCTCGATGTCCATCCCCTCACTGCGAGTCTTAACGGTCGGGTTGAGAGCACAGCCTATGCAAGCAGACACGCCGGTTGGCAGCGACGGAGGCACCTGTAGCCCGTTCAGAACACACACTCCTCTCACACTGTAGCTACAGCCTTGGGCGACGCAAGGCAGACGCATAGAAACGCACACAAACATGCTGCAGCGGTGCACTCGGAGAGGTTTTCTCCTTATCTAAATATAGCCCTTAATAAGCGTTCCCGAGAAGGCTGAGGCGGATGGAGAGGGCAGGAAGCGAGGGGGAAGGAGGGAGGACGAGCAGGGAGCAAATGGATGGCTGAAAGAATGAAGACATCATTACTTAACCAGCTGCTCTGGGCCCTCTCATCAATCTGCCTTTGATTGCCATGTTAGCTAACCTCCATTACTTTGTATCTGAGACACAAGCCCAGCAGCTGCATGATGTAACGGTCCACAGGGTCCGGCTGCACATCCAGCCGCCGCTGGCCAAGTGTGAGCAGAACCGGCTTGATTAATGCAGAGCGGCCGTTTGAGCGAACTGAAGAATCGTCCGGTGTGATTAAGCGGCTAAAGGAAATCCATAAGTGACCAACAGGGAGCTCTGGAAGATGTTCTTTAATCATTTGGTATCCAGCTAGTTCACCAGCCGCGTCCTCAGTAAATCGCCGCTGCAGCTTCCACACAGCGACAGACTGAACCGGCAGCGCGAGGCGGCGACGTTTAACCGCGGCGTGGTTTCTGATTTCTGACCTGACAGATAATGTAAAGTACTCAGTCTTTAATAATTCATGTGTGCCGTAATGCTCTCTGCTCATCAACAGAAACACACTCCTTTGTTTTCCTTCCAGCCCTCCGTCTGTCTCGCCTCCAAACATCCTTTATAAAAACACACTCCTGTTGTTTGAACCCTACTTTGAGTTGAGACCAGTTGAGTACGACCACTACTGCAGAACTACAGCTTGGATGCCTTAAACACGCCCTCACACACTCCCAGCTCCACCTCGATGCATTGCATGGATTTTATTGAGTTCGGTGGCGTCTTGTCTTGAACCCGCCCTGCACACGGTGACGCAGCATGGCTTTGCATGACAGTGTGCATGTGGGGTTTGTTTTATATGACGAAAATGTACCAAATACAAACGCTAGACAGAAACGGACGAGCGAATGATGTCTCAGTTTGCCATCTTGTGCCTGTATTTTCTTACCGTCTTCGGCATCTTCCGCTCATCCAGCGAGCTTTATTCACGGCCTGATGTTCAGCTGGGGGTGGAGTCTTTAGGTTAGCGAACTTATACTTACAGATTAATATATTTAATATCATCCTTGTAATATAAAAATCATAATTTAATGTCTTAACCGATCCTTACTTGTCGTCTGTTCCCTGTTTTATGGTATTTGTTGTTGCATTTGATGATTTTGAAGTTGATTATCATGCTGTTCTTTGTGGGGTTGTTGTTTTTTTTATATATTTTAACATGCTGTCTGGAACATTTCTACGATGGTAGACGTTGTAAATGACACTAATGTCTGGGTGAAGGCAGCCTGATGGGAGAACAGAAGCGATGTAGACGTGGACGGGGCCGGCATGCCGGCGAGGTGTTGGTTCCATAAGTGCCTCCTCTGCTCCATAGCGACCAAGCTGGTTTTCTAGTCATGTAGACGAGGCACTTTTTCACGCACGCAGATATGTAAGTGGATGATGTTTCGGCGCGGTGTGCATTTATCACCATGGCAACCTGTCACCCCCCCTCCATATGCGCTCGCCCGGGGGACCGACTGAGATCCACTGATTTGGTTTCTGTTCATTTGTTTGTGCTTTTCATCGATTTTCATTACGTCGCCTTCTGCCACAGCCTCCCCCCCCATCCTCCTCCTCCTCCGCCAACATTTCCCAATGTTTCATCTCATTTGCTCGCAGACGCATACAGACCGAGCTAGATGCATATTTATTAGTCCTTATTAATCACAGAGTAGAAGTTGTACATTTCTTTTTGTTGTCGTTCTTTTTACCGATGATCTACTTGTTGGGTAATCAGTTTGTGCAATAACAGTTGTTCATCTCACTTTGTAACCCAGTTTTAATTGATGACATGAATGCAAGATAACCTTATTTTTGTAAAGAAACCTGAAAAGTGTAAAAAGACGTATGTATATGAGGAGAACCGACGCTCACACGGAGCCCGTGTGTGATGAAGTGATGTTCGAACGACAGTTTGGAGGGCAGGGTTTCCCAAAAGCTTCTGGTCAGCTCGGCAGAATCAGCGTTGAAATATTTAACACACTGTTTGCACCTTGAGGTCTTGAAGAAAAATGGCTTTGATTCTTTGTTTTGGCTTTTGGGAAACCTTCACCCGGTCTGGTCTCAGAGGGCTCTGTGGTGAATCCTGCTGCATGGACGTTCAGACACCGAGTCAGTTCTGTGTCGCTCCCCTCCATCCTCTCCTTCAGTCTGAGGGGCTTCGATAAGACCAGATCCTCACATCAGCTGTTGAGGGTTATCTTTTATTCACTCCTTAGGGCTCTTAGGGACTGTACATTGTATATACTGGAGGCCTCCACTACGGCAAACCCTGAGGGCCAAACCAGACGGAGCTGAACAAAATCCAGAGCTATTTTTCACACCGAAAAATGAAATATTGTTTTTGTATATCAGTGACGAATAAATGAGATTTTAACAAACAAGCAGAGAGTTTTGTGCGTCTGATTTTTGTGTTTTATCTCAAAGGACTTCGATCCATCCTGTCTGTCCTCTTGTTTCCCTTCAGCAGCAGCTGGGAAGCACCTGGACGGTTGTTTTTGTCTTTGGCTGATGCTCCCAGCGGGAAAGAAGCACAGTGATGCCACAATAATGCTCAGATTAGTTCATTTTGTCCCAAATCTGTTTATAGCTCAGAGTCAGCATTTTGCTCTTCACTCTGCGTTTTGATCAGATGAGAGATTCTCTGTAAATACTCACTGCTGTCCAGCTACAGGAAAGAATAAAGCATTCAGCATCTATTTTTGCACATTTATTTGTAAAATAAATCTAAGTGAAGCAGAGAAGCAGTGAGATTTAAGGCTGATGATAGCTGTACTTCTAATAGTTAAATTAAAAACATGATATTTTTACTTGTCATCAATAAATAATTATTGTTATTGCGGTTTGATCAGATTTCCGTTCACTGACACATGAAAACATAAAATCAGTTTGCATCTCAGAGGAAAGGCTCCACGCAGAAGGAGGACCTGTTCGTCTGCACGTCTGATGGATTTAAAAATGAAAATTGCAAAAATCAATGAAGTGAGAACATTATTTTCAGTCTTCTCCGTCGTCCAAACCTGACCAGCAGCTGATTAAAGAGCGTGTTGTGCTTGAAGCGGTTCATGTCGCCTCGAGCAGAGACGAGCAGCAGCACACGGAGGTCTGGTGAGTTCATTTACTCCACCTTTATGGGGTTTTTTTGTATTTTCGAATTTCATTTTAGTCTCAACATCCAACCGACCAGAGTCTTCATGCAACTTTAATCACATGTTCCTGAAACCTGTGAACACAAATCAAGTTCAATCATAGCTGCAAGCTTCACACTCATTAGTTTGGTTAGAATTACTCATGAACTCATCACGGCATTGACACGGAACAGAAGAAACTGGACTTTATAACGATGCTTGTTGAATTCATACATACATGTTGTACATACCAGAATAATCACGTTATAAATAATACCCTGACTAATGTCTTCATGCATTTTCACAGTTCAGTTTCTGCTGCTTTTCCATGTTTCAGACGATCTCCCTACACCAGGGGTGCCCAGTCCTGGTCCTCGAGAGTCCCTATCCAGCATGTTTTAGATGTTTCCCTCTTCCAACACACCTGATTCAAATGATCAGCTCATCATCAAGCTCTGCAGAAGCCTGATAACCATCCTGATCATTTGTGAACATGGAGGGATCTGTTTTGCAAACGAACTCTTCATTTGTTCCTGCTGGCGCCTCGTGGCCCGGTCATGTTTGCAAATGTGAACTGGTTCTCAAACATTTGTACCTGGTGAAATAGAGGTCAAATAGATCAAATAAAAACACTAAAAGAACAGCTTGAGGAACATGAAAAAGAGCCCATTGATTTTAATCTGATCGAGCATCCATGATGCTGTGCTGGAGCGGGCCTGATACACAGAGGCCCCACCACGTATCCAACAGGACCTGAAGGATCTGCTGCCCCAGAGGTTCTGTGTCTGTGTCATGACAATTCACAGCTGCTTTAGCGGCACATGGTTCAGACCAGCACGGGATTAACAGGTGGTTTTAATGTTGTGGCATGTTTATAATAATGCATCACAGCCAGGACGGTGAGACCTGAAGCTCAGTCAGTCTCACAGTGTGTGTGTCTCTGCAGCGATGGGTAGCAGAGCCGGTAACAGAGCCGCTAGCAGAGCCGGTAGCAGAGCCGGTGAACTGGCTCCTCCAGTCATCGCTCTCACTGCGATGGTGCAGAGTGTCTGAGCTGCTGCAGCAGAGACCATCACACTGTGAGGCAGCTCAGTGTTTCTCTGCGGATCAGAGGCGACGCTAGAATAGTTTTGAAAAGAATTCCCACCTTCAGGGCGTCGATGCATGAAGCGCAAATGACTGTGATCCTTTCAGGCTGGTGAATATGAAGCTTTCACTTTGTGACACTAAACAAATTCATGTCCAGAGTTATTGTCTGGAGCCTCATATACAAATGGATGTCACGGATGAGAGAGTTTACAACATTTTAGCATCTCCAGCTGTATGATTGCAGAGTCTGCAGAGGTTCAGATGCTGTGCAGTAACTATATGCAGAGGCTATATCCATCACATCTGCATTTAATTACCTGTAATGACAGACTTTGGGTCATGGCGGGTGTTTTTCAGGCACTTGCATATTACTACATGCAAAATTATATATAGAAAAATCCTCAGCATCCCATCATCCTGTCTGATGGGTGTCGACGTCAGTGAACAAGTCGGAGAGAGATTCGGGAAGAGGAAGCAGCTCCACAGTTCTCTGCACGTCTGTCACCGTGGTCTCAAACGTACTGATAGTAACGTGTTGAACATGAACTAATCAAAGATGTTGAAGTCAGTCGGTTCAGTAAAACAACTCTGAACTAAAACAAGCTTCTAGTTCTGCTACAGTTAGATCAGTAACAAACGACACACTCTGGTTGTTCCAAATCAGTGTTTTCATTCCTCCGCCTTCTACTGGTGGACACACACACACACACACACACACACACACTCATACACTCTTTCTTGATTCTGTTGTTTTGCTGTTTGTGAAAGTGAGGAGCGCATCTGGGCTGTAATGGGTGGAGGGTGCGCTGGTAAAAGCTTAATGAGCATAACGAGTTCATTCGTTAAGTAGGCTGCAGCTCTGTCCCTCGGTGAGTTTGAGTCGGGAGCACCAGACCTTCTCTGGAGAGACGTGGGCCTGCTGACGTGTGTGTGTGTGTGTGTGTGTGTGTGTGTGTGGAGATGATTTTGTACGGTTTGGAAGCTTCTGCTGCATAATCTGTAATCCACTACATGCAACCTTCTATCAGACGCTGATGGTGCAACTTATCTGAGTGAGCCATGTCTCCTCACTAACGCTGTGCTGCATGTGATGAATGGCGTGAGAAGCACTTGAGTGGACGGCCATCTGTCCGCGCTGACGCCGCCCTCCTCCTGATGAATATTAAATAAAGGTGTTGCTCTGAAGCCTTCCTGCTGCTCCCGCCGACGGCTGCAGCGTAGGAAGTACCTGTCGCTCTGGAGACTGATGGATGGCGTCGCTGGGGAGAGGTCCAGACTC